ATGTATGTGTGTGTTTTTCAATTTTTTCATTTAAATTACTTTTTTAATCTATTTTTTGTTTTTATTTTAAATCATTTTTACTTAATTTTCTTAATCTATTTTTGTAAATTATCAGTATTTTTTTTTTCTGATGAACTCAAAAAGGTGTTATACTGTATGTGACGTAGTACAACGAAGTGTTGAGTAAGACGATCCAAACAGCTTGATTATAGTCACATGATATCCTTTCATTTCCATTCAGCATCAAACTCAGGAGCCTGTCCATATCACTGATCTGCACGCGTTCATCGCTGAGTGCACTGACGCGGCCAGCTCTGGAAAGTTCCGCGGGATCGAGACCTCGCCGTGCTCTGTCTTCTGCTGCTGTGACAGGTGTGTCATCATAGAAACAATGAAAATGCCTCTTAATATCAGCAATCACATATTTAAGTGCCCCCAATTAACACAAATGTATTGCATACTACTGTTACATTCAAAATAATATAATAATAAAATGCAATAGTGAAGGGCACAAATAATGCAGTTAGTTTCACACAAAAATACATTGATGTTTAAGAGAGATACTAATTCTTACAGGTTAAGTATATTATTTCCACTTGTGTTACCAAATATAATTGCTAAAATTTGTTTTTTGCAATTTTTCTTTAATAGCACCACAATGTTTATATTCTTAAGAAAATCAACCTAATGAACCAGCTTATGGTTGTTACTACACAATAAAGTGAAAATTCACCCTATCTATTTTCTAAATGCTTGTTATAGATCTTATTGTCAACAATTCATATGTGCAAATGTTTATTTTTATTTATTAATTTGTTTTATTGTTTTTTTTTTAACTTTGTAACGTTTAGTCAAAATCATAACTGGATCTTCTCTCAGAAATTGCTAAATATTTAAATTAATTACAAAGAAATAGCAAGTAACACATTAAATGAAACATGACATTTTTAAGTTGAACAACTGAAATGATATTTTCTTTTAAAACAGTAAAACTTTAATTACAATTTTTAAAATACAACACATTAAATGAAACATGACATTTTTAAGTTGAACAACTGAAATGATATTTTCTTTTAAAACAGTCATCTTTGTTTTATTACAAATTTGAAAACTTTAATTACGATTTTTAAAATCAATTTTTACAGTGTACTTCGAGTGCAACACCCACATCTCAAAATGATGGATGGAATAAAGTGCTCGCCCTACGTTTTCTCTTTTTTCAATAATCAATTATACTCAGATGTATGTAACAATACATGGAAGAAAAGATCTGTCACTACTTCCGTGTAATCGCGACTGAACTGGGATAGGAGAAAATATTTTAACATGAAATTCTTGTAACTGAAGGCTGTAATCATGTGTGTGTTGGTGTAACCCTGCAGAACCACCACATATGAGGATGTGCACCTCATCAACTAGTACAATCATGGGACTTGATGCCTGAAGATCCCTCTGCTGGTCACCTTGCAGTACTGCAACCGGAAGGAAGCCAGTGGCAATGTGAGGAAAACTCCAGACAAAATACCCAAGAAGTCACAGTCGCTTCACTTTGGACCTTAAGTGGAGAAGAGCATATATGATGTTTACAGAAGAATTGCTCCAGTCTGTGAAAATTTACGTTTTACCTCAAATTGATTTTAGTTTTAACTTTCATCTGGAGGTTGCTAAAGGCAGCCCAGTACTGTCTCTTTTTCTGTACTGTTAAAAACACTAAGAAGGTTTGAATCGAGACCGTATTAGACAGATAACACACTGCACACGTGCAGGCGATATGTACAATAATCATTCCCTGAATGTTGATCCCACATGTTCGTTCAGTGCACGTGCTGTGGTGTGCAAGTGGGTCATCTGCCATGGCCAATACTGGGAAACATAGTGGTCAGTGATTCTATTGCCGTTCGTTCTGTTGGATAGTTTTTTATGTCTTTGAGTAACTTCTAGTCATGTGTAACATCTGCACCAGAAGAAGACTGAACTGGCAGGCCTAAGTGTTTAGCAGATGTAGACCTCTGCTGCAAAAAAAGATGAGGAGACCATGTGATTAAACATCATTAAATATAAGTTGTCTCTTATTTAGCACTTAGAGCAGAAACAGCAATCCCCGGTGTCTTAATATCATCTCCACTTATCCATAACAAAAATACATGCTCTGCTAGTATGAATTCACACCCAGAATGCCTCAGAAACTTAGCCTTAACACTTCCTGATGTGTAGAGCTGGCTGTAATTTTGGACTGTAATACCTCATTGTTGAAGAGGATGACTTTCAGTTGCTTTTTGTATTTTTCTGACACTTCCTGATGTGTAGAGCTGGCTGTAATTTTGGACTGTAATACCTCATTGTTGAAGAGGATGAGGACTTTTGGTACACAAGTTCACCAGTAATCATACCTCCATAATTTGATTCCATACTGATTTATTGTTTAATCTGAATCAAATCACTCACTTTGCATACCATAAGTGAAGTCTTATTTTATAAATTATATTGGACAGCCTTAACCTTGATGATCTAGTGCTTTATAGAATATACAGCCAGCCTTCATCAGCTTTGTTTTAAAACCGAGGCCTTCAAGAACACTATTGTAAGATTACTGGTGAGGGCACAGTGTTCTGTTACCATGGGGACATATTAGAACAATAGAACTCATCAAAAATGCTTGACCCATGCATGATTCTCACTCTCACAGAGGACTAACAAGCCTAATTAGATCTTCTCCATTATACTTGACTGATAAGAGAAGGATGTATAAATATTTAAATTCTGGGGCCTGTGCAAGCCATTAATTCAAGTACACAATAAGTGGGACCAATCATATTATTTTGATGTCAGTGAACTGCTTTTTGGTCATATTACATGATTAGATTTTCCTTTTAATACTTCTGTATTATTTTAATGTGTAATTCAATCGTGTTGTAGTGTAGTGTTTTATTTATGTTGTGTTGCCTTTCTGCTTCAAATGAATTTAAAGCGCACAATCTGCAAACAGACCACACTTTCTGTTACTAACGTGAAGCTACACGGGGATGTTGTTCAGAAATCACATCATATGTTGTCAGATGTGTACCTGAAATATTTCATATTTCATTTTAGCCTGATAATTGTGTCTTTTCAAATGTTTTGTGATGGACAACTTGTGCAAATACTTTGCTGACCAAGGCAACACAAACAGCATGTAGATAAAGTGATGTAGAAGAATCTACCGACTTTAAAAATGGAGGATTTTTCATTTCTTGATTTTTCTTTTTGTTTTAAACACTTGTATAAGTGTCATTGCACATTTTTTTCCCAAGCTTTGATCTTGACAGGGTCTATTTTTTTTTAATGTTCACATGTATTGTTCAATACAGAGATTTTCTAAAGATTTTTTAATATTGACACATTTTCCTTGTCCTGTTGTTGTTCCATATTAGAGTAAATTAGAACACTTTTTAAAGCTGTATTGACCAACCTATACATGTAATACTTTCTTACTATACCATATGAACACTAGGTGGTATAATGAGAGCATTTTATCACAAATCTGAAGACTTTCAAATTATAGATGGCGTCTGTGGCACCTAAATTGCACTTGTAAAATATTAAAGTTGCTTAAAAATCATTTAGCCAAGGTTATTGTATGTGGAAGAGGGGAAGGGAGTTTGTAGGCATGTTTGAATAGCTGGTCTAAAGCAGGTACACTAACCATTGCATTAGCCAGTGTACATTGTTTGAGTTGGCTATCTGAAACCACAGAAAGAGATTACACACACTGTTCAAACAGAGCAATCCCCTCAGATGTTGATCTCAGACCTTGTGGCCATTCTATAAAGGCCTGCTTTCCTATTCTCAACCTGCCGTGGGAGTCTGAATATGAGCCACACCCAGCTATTCAAACAGAAATGAGTTAACCGGAAGAGATTTAATTTAACCACCTCAATAAGCCCATTGTGATCATATACAGACAGGTTTTACAGCAGTATAACAAGAAGATAATCATCTGAGGCTTAATTTTGACTGATTTCTTAATTCATCTTATCCAAAACTACTTCTGTGATGTGCTCAGATGCTCACAATATCTTACTTATAGTTTAACTTAACCTTATCGTAGGGGTGAAGATAGCAAATGCCGGACTGACGCTCCTTAAAACGGTAAAGAAGATCATTAATGTGCTATATGATTGGCTCCACCCATATATTCAAATTTGCATATTAAAGACAAAGCCGACCTTAAATAAAAACTAGACAAATTAGAGCCATGTAGTATAGAACAGTGCACAGCTGCAGGCCTGTGAGAATCCATTTACTTCCGATGGGGGTAGAGACTGGACTATTTCTTCTTTTACAAAGCTTTCTATGTATGTGTGTAAGCAAATCTTATGTATGTAAACAAAAATCAAGTGTTGCTTGTCCATCAATGACCCTTTCTTTGTTTAACAGAATAATGTTTGCTGTCATACTGTTTGTGTGACTGATTTTTTCTCTGCCTGAATGCTGGTTTTAGTCCATGAATGCACTTTTTTAGCTTTAGGAAATCCGCTTTTTGCAGGCGATTTAATCCCTACTCTCTCTCCCGTCTGCTTTTAAAGAAAAATACATTTTCATGAGGATGTAAAATTTTTGTCAATATTTTTCTCAAGGACACATATGCCCCTGTATCAACTTTTTTTAAATTTTCAAATGATCAATTACACTTGCACAAAGATTAGAGCAAAAACAATCAATATTCCTTTTGTCTGCTGATAATTAACTCTTTTTTTATTTAATTTTAATGGAATTTTCATGGCAGATACAACCTATAACGCTGTAAATTTTTAGTCCTAATTGTGTTGGAACATATTAATACATTAGCATTGTTTTTATTTTTATGTCCCTGTCGATTTAATTGTTAAATCCAGTGTTGAGTTGGTAGTCCTCAATTATGCGTGTTTTTCAAACACATGATGGTGAAACAGCGTGCTGGATGCTAGATGGGCGTGGCCATAGTTTGTAAAGCGACATCACTGCCCTTTTGAAGTGTATTTCGGTACTTGATCCCATTGGATGAAAACCGGGAGTCCGATGGGCTTTTTGGTGGCTTGATCCTTTTTGTTTCTGAATTGCCACGTTAGGATTTGATCAACTTCCTTAACACCGATTTCAGCTCACGGTGAATCGCGAGGGTGAAGCAGTGGGTTGATATACAGGGCTTTTTTTGCACGTTTGTATATTTTAAGCAATTTGCACAAGGACCCACACGCCTCCCGTATCACCTTGCCGCCGGTGTGGAGTCGTGGGTTGTCCGCTTTTCCAGACTGAAGCGGAGGAGTCGAAACCAGGCGCTTTTAAAATCATCTGAAGGTAAATGGATGACATTTTGGAGCATGTTTACTTTGCTTATATTTCAACCTGTTTGCCTGGTTCAAATTCTCTGTTCAAAATGTCATTTCATTTGGGACCACAATCAACTAACTTGGTTTACGTTCTGAATATTTTCTGGAATCAGGTTTGGTTTCGTTCCGATTTTGCATGTTTGGGTTGGGCTGGGCTTTTAAAGGATGCGATGCATCGATTTATACACACATGGTATGAACTGAGCAGCGGCCTGTGCTCCGTTTGAAACATCGATTCTTTTTTGTTTTGTTTTTTATACGATTGCATTTAATCACAGCGCGTGAAGGGCATCGTAATTGATGAAATGGCTCGCGTGGCTGCTGTGGTTACATGTAGCGATTCATCTTCGGATAAAACGAATGCCGTTTGATCACCATTTTTCTTGTCAAGTACAAAATAAATAGTATTTTCTAATGCAAAATATAAATACATCAACTATCTGTCTTGGAAATGCAAACAAATCGCTGCCTTTTGTGGGGGTTTCATCTAGGGTCAGCTTAAAATGTGAAGTGCAGTTCTTGAGAATGAAAAGATTTGATGTTGAGGAATTCAAGTCGATTTGAATCGAAACGCGCAATGATAGCACCGCTTCACTTCAATAGCTGTCCTGTGTTATTCTGACCCGCCTCGCCTCTTTTTACCCGAATAAACTACTAAAGCTCAGAGAAATCGATAGTGTAAGTGGACTATCATGGATTGCCGTCGTTTGATATGGATATGAACCGCCTGTGCTGCTTCTCGGAGTTTGTCTGGCCACTGCCTCGTTTTGACTTGAATGATCGTTTGAATCGCGTTGATGTCATGCTGTGTTATCACCCTGCCCTTGTAACGCCAGCAGGTCTGTAGATAACAGCGTGTCACTCATCACACTCTGTCTCTGTGTACATTCTAGAATTCAGTTCTACAAGTTCATGACCGCTTTTAACGATAATGGCCCGGATATATAACTTTTGCTCATTCACTAGCAGATCTTTCATGAGAGGTCGTTTTGTGTGGAAACTGTTGGTTTTAAGGCGCATTCACTAATTTCTTGTAAATTAAAAGGGTTTCGACAAAGAGATATGGGCAGTGAAATATCATTAAAATGATACACTCACATGAGACGAAGATTCCGGTAATTCTACCTGGAGCAGGTCGCCCCTGTAGCCATGTTCAAATCACGTGACCGGCTGCATCATAAAATTAACTAGTTACTATTTTTAACAACACTATTGTTCATTTTGTATAGTGGTTTTAGATAGTATACAAAGCTTAAACCTGTAAGTACTTCTAAACAAATTAAAGCCTAGCAACGGCCTAGTCCAGATAGAATGGATCGGCAAGTGTGGTATCCTCAAGACAGTTCAAATAGAATAAGTAGCCTACAAGTGGAAAAATATTCATGCATCCAAGCCACTAAGTGTTCTTATAAAGTACAAAACCACTGGTAGGCTACTATTAGGTTGAATAAGAGCCAGCTAAACATATACAAAAACTTAGTGAGCTCACTTAATTTGCAAGACATGGATAATTTTAGGGTAATTTTAAACAACCTTGTCGATGTCATATAATGCCTTGCTAAGACCATAATGGTCTATTGTGTCCTCCCAGTTGTCCCAGGAATTTGTCATACACTAATGCCAGCTGTTGTTTTGGTCGTCCCAATAAAAAACGAATTGACTTGACTGAACAGTCCAGAACTACAACCCCAATTTGATGCTAGAATGATAGAACAAATAACACATGAAAACAGAGCCTACTTGTGCTAAGATTTATGATAGCCCCTCACTGTTTAGATGTGTGCCTGAGCTCAGGTTGGTCTGAAGTTGAACAGAGCAGCTGCTGTCATTAGTTGTTTTAGCCACACTCCTCAGTGAAGGACTCCTGACACTAATAGCTTTGTTTAAACAGGACACCCTCACCAGTCTGCTCTTGCTGCTCGGCTAGACTTGGTTTACTTCTAGCCAATAGCGTTATGTAGTGATTGATTGTGCTTTCTATTGCATCCTGTAAGCTAATGATTTCATCACTTGAGTCATCTTGTGCTGGAACCAATTCAGGTTTTGTCATTGTGGTGTTGTGTTTTAGGTTCGCTGATCCCTCTCAAGTCTGTGGTCACTATTTTGCAGACAACTTTGATTCTTTTTCTGCCATTTTCCCACACATCACTTCTTTTCTGAGTTAAGGTGCATTCACATTAGCAGAATTTCAGCAAATTGTTGCAGATGAAATAGTCATTTCAATAAATCCACCTGGAATTTTGTGTGAGAGCAAAAGTTTTCCCCACACAGATTTCGCATTTTGAAAAAAAACATGTTTTAAAGGGTTAGGGTTCACCCAAAAATAAAAATTTTCATCATTTACACACCTCAAGTTATTCCAAACCTTCCTTCTGTTGAGCTCAAAAGAAGATATTTTGAAGAATGTTGGTAACCGATCAATTGATGGTACCCATTGACTACCATAGTATGGAAAATACTATGGAAGTCAATGTCTACCATCAGCTGTTTGGTTACCATCATTCTTCAAAATATCATCTTTTGTTTTCAACAGAAGAAAGTAAGTCCCGCAGGTTTGGAACATGTGGAGGGTGAGTAAAAGACGACAGAATTTTCATCTTTGGGTGAAATATCCCAGCATTGATTGATCTTGGAATATTATTATATTTCGTAAAAATTGTGTTTAAGGGTGTTTGTATGCATATCTATTGATGTACTGGCCAATGCAGCACTCACAGATTGGATCATTTAACAGCTTTTGAGATGTCTGGTTGGCTCCAGCTTAGCCGTGACCTCACAGTGGGGTTGTCGAGTTGGACAAGCAGATGCCCAGCAGGGAAGAAGCCCCAAATTTTCAGTAGCGGATTAATGAAATAAACCATGTTAATCGTCAAATCTGTTTGCTTATGCACCAGTTCATTGCCTTACAAATACTCTGATAACCTGAATTTAATCATATATTAATCAATCCAGTTCACATTTAATAATATGAACTGGATTGACTCCAGTTGCAGTAATGTGAATTCCAGACTATCATCAAATCCTGGTACTCTTTTGTTTCCTGTGAATGAAATGGCTTCCTGAGTTTTTACCATCAGGATAATCTACTCAGCGCTTGACGTCAGTTTTGCATTTGGAAAGAACATTTTGAAATACCACGTTATTCTATTAAATCCTTTCTGGTGGTTTTATGACCCCCTAATCTGCTAAAACACTGGCACTGACAAAAGAGCTTTTAACTGTTGGCAAACTAGTGCTAGATAACTTGGCAGAGAGTTTGTTTGTGTGTGTTTTTAGATTTAGCTGATGTCCTGTTTTAATCCTCTTGGGCTCTGTCCATATCCATCACAGCGTTCTGCTGCGTGTCCAGTATGCAAACTACACCCAAACCATCACGCCACCATTTACCATCTGTTCTTTCTCTCCTTTTCCCTCTCACAATTCCCTCCCTCTCCAAAACATCTTCTGTGACGCTAATCTTTTTTGTCGGTCTGTCTTGAGCATGTGAGATGGTTGCAGCCTTTGCTTAAGTCCAGTTCCGCCTTGTCTTCCGTAAGAAAGGAGTTTAAGTTTCTTCAAAAGTTCTTTTACATCACTTTTACTTTTGCCCTGTGCCATTTTGCTGCCTGTTTTTGTCCAATATCTCTCATGTTGTTTTAGCAGCTCCGTTCTAGCCATGCCCAGCCCCCGTCAGCATGGTGCGTGCCACACAATGGGGAATGTCCTCTCTTAATCCTTACATTTACGCATTGCAAAATCAAACCCTGCTGGCTCATTAAGCCCCATTCACACCCTATTCTGAGACAACACACACAACTCGCTCATCTGGAGTTAATCCTGTTGGAAGAGAGGGAGTAGGGTCGTTGCGTTTCTTCCTGTTTATCTGCATCGTTGCTACCGTTTCACACTCTCAGCGCTGTCTGACACTTCAGCTCGACCCCACACACAATACTGACCCATTATCCTTCCCTACACCCATCTAGTAACCATTCACCAATGCAAATCAAACTACTAAAGATATGCCAGTTCTCACACCATTATATATTTGTTTAAAATCACACCTTTCTTCGATTTCGCTGGACCCTTAAAGCGATGCATTTGTGTAAGAGAAAAATATGCAAGACTTGCGTATTCTCATCGGATTAGTTTATAAAGTTTTAATTATGGATATTTTTCTTACACAAATGTATCGCTTCACTTCAGAAGGACTTTATTAACGCCCCAGAGCCATGTGGAGTACTTTTTATGATGGATGGACACACTGTTTTGGACTTCAAAATCTCGACTCCCATTCACTGCCATTATAAAGCTGGGAAGAGCCAGGACATTTTTAAATTTAATATAACTCCGATTGTATTAATCTGAAAGAAGAAAGTCATATATGGCTTCAGGGTGAGTAAACCATGGGGTAGTTTTCATTTTTGGGTGAACTAATGAAATTTGCTGTTAATTTACTCACCCTCAGGCCATCCAAGATGTAGGTGACTTTTTTTTCTTTTCTTTTTTTCTTCAGTAGAACAGTAATGAAGATTTTTAGCTGAAACGGTGGTTCTTGATGATTCATAAAATGCAAGCCAATGGCTGCCGTCACTTTGAGAGATGAAAAAAGCAACACAAAATTAATACAAGTGGCTCTTGATGATATATTGAGGTCGTGTGAAGCGAAATGATTGGTCTGTGCAAGAAACTGAACTTTATTTACAACATTATTACCTGTAATCCAGAGCCTCAGGCAAATGTTGAAGTCTGATTCTTTTCCACGAACTGGTTCTTTCAGACAGTTTGTTTCAAATAACCAATTCACCAGTTCATTTACATGAATCACTAATAATCAATAATGAATTGTATATGCAATTATATTATTAAAGCACCCAAAAATAATTATTTAAAATGCGTATGTTTTAGATGTCTAAAGAATATGAAGTGAATAAACTTAACTCGTCTTAATCAACTCACCTTTTTACATAAACCATGAGAAACCATAATAAT